GGTTCTGCTTCACGGTATAAATTCGTATCAATGAAGTATCCCGAAAAATTATAATGAATACATAAATATTCCTAGAAAAATACCTAAGACCAGAATATCAAGTTTGGAGTCGGAATAATGAGAACTGACGTCAGAACTAATAGCGGCTACGTATAAAACGCGTACCAGCAAAGTTCTGCGAAAATTTTAATAAAAATATGAAAAATCCTAGAAAAATGGCTAGGTTAAGAATCTAAAGTTTGAAGTTAAAATGATTAGTGGAGCTATTAGAACTAATACCGGTGGATTAAGTTAATGTATCTATAAACACTAAGGGCACAAAATTCTAGGGCATTTGCCATCCTTTTTCCTACGTATAGTTCCTTGTTCTTCATGGCTGCCATGAGCTCCCTTGAATAGATCTTGCCACCTTTCTTTCAAGAACCCCTTTTCTACATCATTTCTTCTTCCTTGAGTTGGCCAACCTTGTTACAACTTGAAAGTGATCACCTTGAGGCAGAAAGGCACCTGCTTGGGGGTGTTGTAGCTGCTGTGCTTGGGGGTGTGGGGACTGCCTTGTGGGTAGGAGTAGGTTGGAGCCTTCTTGAACATCATTGAAGCTCCAAGTAGTGAGCTTTGTGAAGAAAGGGCCAAACTTGAGAACCATTTTCGTGGGCTGATCATAACAAAACTGTTGAAGAGTGTGGAAAGCTCCAAGATCACCCTTTTACTCTGTTTTGAGCCTTTGGGTAATCACCACCACCTTTGCTCTTGATTTCCTATAGAAAGAATGAATCTTGATGCATGTAATAAGTGGAAGTTGATAACTTAAGGGTGGTAAGGTATAACACACCTAAAAATGCATGATTGAACGTCTAGAAACTTGAAAAATGATGTCTTGGAAGGATATTTTCGCGATATGCAAAACTGCATTCTGTCGCGAAATATCCGGATATGATATCCGGATATTGACATCCGAATATGGGGTATGTGATATCTGGATATGGATATCAAGGTATTGGGTTTGAGATATTTGAATATGGATATCCGGATATGCCCCCGTGAAATATCTGGATATTCTGAAAAATTTCATGTAGTGATCTGTTCTGTCCAAACAGAAGCTTAGATTGGGTTTATGGACCCAGGATTGGTTAATATGAACCTCTGTAATAAGTTAAGTAAATCAGAACCTAAAGTATTGAAGACTTATGGCTTTGGGAGAAGCCTATGGTCACTAAACGAAAAAGGAAACATTGTCCAAATGTAATGAACTTCTAGATATGGTATATTGATGATGTTTCTGGTCTAAATAGATTGTGATTGCGTTGTTTCGTGACCGTGGGCTTGTGAGGACTCTTTGTTGCTATTGTTAGCTTGCAAGGTAAGCTTTCGTGTCCTCAGTTTTACCCATTGTTGGTTCCACCATACCTCATGGAGGGAAGGTTATATGCATGATATGTTTTCTGAAATATATGTGGTGAATATTGCCATGTTGTTGAGCTGTTTATGAGTGCTTTTCCATATGATATTTATATGGTGTTCCACCTAGACGGTAACCCCTGATTATTTAGAGGCATACAAGATGGTAACTTTGTGGGTGAGGTACAAGAGTACTGTGGGTTGTAGACGTTTATTTCTCTGGCCAGTAGAATGTATATACACACATGACATGGATATATGCTGGATTGCACGGATTTTGAAATGATGATGATATTATGCTTTTGAACTTATATTGCACATGTAAGTGAGCTTGGGGTGTAGAGATCCTTGAGGAACCCTTGCCTTACTGAGATTTTTTTTTAGAGATCTCACCCCTGTTGGGGCACATTTTCAGGTACAAGTACCTCCGAAGTTGAGATCTCTGGTGGCAGGAGGCCAGAGTTGAGCTGATTATGCATGTTGTTGTGTTAATATACCTGGATTCCTGTTATGCCTTGCTTTCAATATATTGCTAGTCGATTTGAGACATTGTTGGCTTTGTTGCCTTATTTGGTGAGCATGGGAGTTGTCCATACCACATTGATATCAGTTATGTTTTTTAGACTTGAGTTGTAATTATGTATCAAGATATGGTCTAGTCTACGTGTTGTAGTTCGGTGACTCGATATTATTTATGATATGAGGACATTCAGTTAGTTATTTAACAATTTACATACAGGCGATATTTTGAAAAAAGATAAGTAATCAACTTGGTTGATTTAATATGTACATAATTGGAAAGAAAAAAGTTAGCTTCCGCATTTAATTAGCTGTGTGTAACATCTCGGGCGCTGACGAGGGCGAGGAGTGATCGCCGGTGCAAAAAGGCATGGACAAGGAGCGGCTCCTGGTAGGCTTCTAGCGACGGGGGTACATGAATGAATCGAATCAACACCCGAAAGAGAGGGATTCCAGAGACTGTGTTGGTATGGGACGGTACAGTTGGGAATAGCTTATAAGAATTAATTGGTACTACCTATACTAACAAGATGCATCTACTTTTCGGTAGCTCAGAACGGAAGAACTCCATAGTTAAGCGTGCTTGACTTGGGGCAATTCTGAGATGGGTGACCTCCTGGGAAGTTTTCCCAGGAAGTGTGCAAGTGAAGACAAAGCATGCTGAAAAGTCTCGTGTTAGTGTGTGGGGACAGTCGTTGATCCTTGCAAGTTTCCAGGCGTTACAAGTGGTATCAGAGCAGGGCCTCTCTTCCAGCACGGTGTGGTTCGAGAACGAACCAGGCGAAAGCTGGTGGACATGTAACATCCCGGGCGCTGACGAAAGCGGGGAGTGATCGCCGGTGCGAAAAGGAATGGACAAGGAGCGGCTCCTGGCATGCTTCTAGCGATGGGGGTACATGAATGAATCGAATCAACACCCGAAAGAGAGGGATTCCAGAGACTGTGCTGGTATGGGACGGTACAGTTGGGAATAGCTTATAAGAATTAATTGGCACTACCTATACTAACAAGATGCATCTACTTTTCGGTAGCTCAGAACGGAAGAACTTCATAGTTAAGCGTGCTTGACTTGGGGCAATTCTAGGATGGGTGACCTCCTGGGAAACTTCCCAGGAAGTGTGCGAGTGAGGACAAAGCACGCTGAAAAGTCTCGTGTTAGTGTGTGTTGGGACAGTCGTTGATCCTTGCAAGTTGTCAGGCGTTACACTGTGCCATTACCATATATATGTTTAATACACTGGGTGCACACAATGTGTTATATTTTATGGTATCAGAGCACTTTCTATGAAAAATGCTTGTATGTATTGCAATAACTTAAGATGACTTGTGTGAATTGTATGTTAGGTTTCTTTTGGGTTTTTACTGTGGCGTGACCACGCTGTGTGGGCCTGATCAATTCATTTTTTGTGTAACATGTGCAGAGTCATGATACTTCCTAGGAAGAACTGAGAGACGAATGAGGGTCAGCCTGACCCGATCCTGACTGCATTAGTTGAGATGCAGGCGGCTAGACAAGCCAACCAGGAGGCCGCTAGAGTAGCCCGTCAGACGATGAGGTGGGTTGATGGGTTGAAATATACAACCCGTCCTACCCCATTTTGACAGGTTGATCCGTCGAATTCAACCCATATTGTCACCCCTAATTGTCTCTATATGCTTTGAAGGAGCTTTTCAACTTCTCAAGAATCCACACACGCCTTATTAAGATCAATAAACACCGTATACAGGTTCTCCTTTTCTCGATATCTCTCCATGGACTGGGATATCAAGAAGATGGCCTCAATGTTAGACACTTCGTAATATAAATCCACGTTCATTTATAGAGAGTTTGGTTTCTATTCTCAAATGATGCTCAATGATTCGCTTTGAGAACTTTATTTTAAGACTTATAAGCTTAATGTTTCTATAATTGGAAAAACTCTTGAATATCCCTACGTTCTCACAGACAGGCACAAGTATACTCCTTTATTTATTTGGCATCTTATTAGTTTGAAAAAAGTTTGTTAAAAAAATTTATTCAACCCACTTATTGCCACATCTCCTAACCATCTCCGTACTTAAATAAGGATATCGAGTCATAAAGCTTTAGTAGTTTTCCCATTCTTTTTATTAATGTCTCTTTAACTTAATGCGTTCTATTCTACATATAAACCTTCTCTGTAAGTGATCAGAAGCGATCTCCTTATGATATTTCCTTCATCCATGTCTTGCTTCCTGCTAAACATTCTTGCAATCTGATTTCATCCATCCTCAACAACTCAAGACCTTCACTTGCTATTAGGAGAAAACCTTCTAGGCTCTATTACCATGTCCCCTAATAAAACATTTAAAGTCACAACCAAACCTGCCATAACTGCCAAATGCTAAATATCTCTGTGGACCAAATTTCTCCTCCTACTAGAGTGTAGGGTGCAGTATATCTCACGGGGATCGTTTTAGCATGTGTTGGATACGATGCTAATTGTGGATCCATACTCTTTTATGACAACTTTTAATCAATCCGTTATGGCTGTTTCCTAACGTCCACTCACCTTCAATGAATGAAGTTTGGGAAACGACATATTTTCTCTGCCTTCAAGTATCTATATCAGCAAACAGTAAGAGATTGTGATAGAGCAAGATATAGGAACAGTGCATGCAAGTTGCAACTGTCAGACAGAATAGTAGTAGTGTCCACAGAACATGGACTGACGAAGGCTAAGCAAGCACAGGCTCTCTCTCTCTCATATCTACTGCTACTTTATGAGTTGTGTAATTTATCACTGTCTCTTACTAACAATAATCACAACATTCAAATTTTTAGTACTGATCATGGTTAATATATGATTCGTCGAAAACAATGATGGTCTGATCTGGTACACAATGATTAGTGAGACGTAAAACAATTTGAAAATCTCTGTAAAACGGGGTGTGACACGCACATTGTAATAACAACATCAACGGAGGAGAATGGCAATCATGGAGCCTGTTGTCAGAGATGTTTGAAAGAACAAGAAATGAAAGATACAGAAAACAATCATTCATTTTGTAGGCCAACTCTTAAGCTGTGTGTAACAAAGCCCCTTACACTGTTACAGAGTCCTTTTTCATTTCAAAATTCAAATGCCAGTATAAAAAAATTATAAATTATAAGAATAGGAAGAATTGTTTTCCTCATTGCACATTTACAGTATAATTAAGCATCTAGAAATAATCGATTGATCTTGCCTCATATTTCAGTTACGTGGTCACTAAGGCAATGACTGAGAATATTCTAAATTAAAAAGAAATTTTATTGCAACTTTGCAAAATTGAATTAGTTCAGCTGGTCTGTAGTCAAGTACACCACGAAACTGTCCCCCTAAATCTTCACAAGTCCTTATGCCATTTCTGCTGTGCATGTGCAAAAAAGTAAGCCAAAAGCTTCAACTCGTGAACATTCTACTCTTCAAAACCTTTTCTGCTTCAGTCTCACTCAAATGCCTTATCCCATTCTCCTTCAACCATCTCTTCCCTCCTGTCATACATTCTTGCACTCTGTTTTCATCCATCTTCAACAACTTAAGACCTTCACTTGCTTTTGGGAAAAAACCTTCTGGTCTCAAACACCATGCCCCAAATACCCCAAATAAAGCATCCAAGTCATTACCAAATCTTTCAACACCACCATTATGAAATTTTACATTGCTTATAAGAATACCATTAAAAATTAATCGATCAATTCCTGCTGCCAAACTTCTCCAAACCCCAACAAAGTCCCTACTATTCAAACCTACTTCTACCACTGACATTTTACCTTGCAGATAATCCAGGGTCTCTATTAAAGACTTTGACACAGTCCATCCTTCTTCACCCTTTTGCCATTGCCTCTTGTTCTTCATATACTCTCGAGAACGAGCATCGAATCCTCTGCAAATAACTAGAGATATCTTTTCAACCCATTCTGCTCTGAACTCTTCCAACTTTTTGATCTCGTCATCAAAGATAACCCTTCCTGAACTCTCTGGAAGCCCTTCACCGTCTCTATTTGCATTACTTGACAATTCCGCTATATCATCCTCATCCATGCCCATCTCCAGGAAAAAGACATCCTCAGACCATTCCTTTAAAACAGTTTCAAAGTAAAGAGCAGCATTGATGGAAATTGCAACTTTAATCAAAGCATCATCATCAGTTAGGGCAGTCAATCCTTCAGCTTCTTGGCAGCGAGTAACTATGGAATCAAAAAAAATTCTTATAATAGGCACACCTGCTAATCTGAGAAATCTTGACCTCAAAGTAACACTAGGCAATGATCTACAACGATCAATAACAGATGCTAGACGGTGAAGAAAGACACTGGAAACCAGAGGAGACTTGAGATCATCAGTACATGATGAAAGAACTACTACACCTTCAACTTTCTTTCTCCATTTATTTTCATCTTCTATATCTGGTTTCAACTTATCTAGGGCATCACCTAGTTCTATTTCTGCCCATAGATCAAGCCAGTCTGGCCGATCACAAAATACAGATAGAGAAGAAATTTTCTGCAAGATATCATCATCATCAAAGGAAAGCAAAACTCCAGAATGCTCTACCAACGACTTAATCCTTTTGTCAAAAGCTATCATCAAGTCAATGAGATGCAGCCATGATATTCTAGCAGATGACTGAATACCTGTAACACTCTCCTCATCTAGTTGACTAATGTAACTGGGGAATATTTCTTTTACCAAGTATGTGGATAAGGATGTTACCATTGCAGAGATCCATTCTTCTCTGCAACTATAGCCAATTAACTTTGCTTCATCAACCAATGGCTGCAACATTTCATCCACAGAATCAACATAATCCCTTGTGATCTTATACACGAGAGTAAAAATAAATTCAGGTTTATCAACCCATTTTGAGAAATGTCGTTGGGAAGCCAATGCCAAGGGATTCACAAGCTCTTCAATTACCCAAAGTGGTTGTCGTAGAGCAACTTCCCTGTCATGCCCCTCAAGTTGCCTAGCTTTCCTTTGCCTCTGCAACTCTTGTAGATTACATAAAGCGAGAAAATTTTCGGAGTATTTGAGTTTAAGATCCGCTTGCATGCTCAGCAGAGGATTCAAGACTTGATTAGCAGTTCTAGCATCTGAGTACAAGGAGGTCAGAGAAGAAATAGGCGGGGGCCATCCAAGCGAAGCTAGAAGTGCCCGATGATCGGCAATTGCCTGAGGTCTTAAAATGGCCAGAGCTCGGTCTACTCGATGATCAACAGCAGATACAAGATGCTTCCACTGAGGGTGTGTCTTGGTAATCAAAGTTAATATTTCTTCTGCCATTTTAAGCGTTTTAATGGCAAGCAGATGCATTTCCTGCATAATTACGAACACAACATCAACATCACATTTATTCAAAACTAGTTGAGGTCGGCGGTCGATAAACCCAAACAAAAAACAAGAAAAGAATGAGTCAAAATAAAAATAAATAAGAGATAAGAAATTTAGTGATGCTACAGTTCCCAATATCATCTGGTTCATAATATTACGAATGTGTACTCACTTGTGAGTTCTGATTAGAAGAAGGCTTCCTCAGGGTTTTACTCATGGTATATGATACAGCATCTTCAATATCACCAACCAAAGTATCAAGTTTCAGTGCTGTCTCTGGAAGACACAAAAAGGAGTTCTAAGAAACTAACAGCATTCACAAAATGGTAATTCATAAGAAACCAAACCAAAGGACAGAATAGTGACCATCAATGAAAAGCAAAACATTCTTGATAATCACAACAACCATATCATAAAAAGTGCCGAAACACAAATATTTCAAGAAAAAAAATCATCGCCCATTCTTCCAGCAATGTTCTTCAGTTTTACACTAAAAGTATAAATGTTTAGTGCTTTCAGGAAAACAAAAAGGTGTTTTAAGAAACTAACAACATTAACAAAAAAATAAAATAAGAGAAGGCAATAACCATCATTCAAAAAGCTTAACATTTCTTGATAATCACAACAAACACATACTATATAGTATATACAATCACCAAAACACAAACACTTCAACAAAAAACATCATCTTTCAATTCTACCCAAAATATTCATTGATTTGCACAATTCAAAAACATCTTCTAGCATTCTTCCCACAATGTTTTTCGATTTTGCACTAAAATATCAAGTTTTAGGGTTGTCAAAGTAACAACATTGACAAAAGAAAAGGTACTACCAACCTGCATAAACACGAACCGTCTCCAACCTAGCCACTTCCTTGGCCAAGGTCGCAAGTTCCTCTCTGAAACCCTTCCCTACAGTGCCATCCGCTTCGGCTCTTCCTCCATCTTCCCTCAACAAACAAAACCAAAACAATTTCTCAAAATTCAAACACCACAAAACCCTAAAACATACATACATCGAATTGAAGCGCTAATCAAACCTGGCACTGTGCTGGAGGAGCAAGTGGACGAGAGAGCGTTCAACCTGGCGGTGACGTCGCCGAAGAGGCCGTGGATTTCGCCGGAGAACGATGCGTACGCAGCGAGACCAGCTCCGAGTCTCCGAGTCAACTCGGACAGAGCCCGATCCAACTCGGAGCACTGAATTTGAAGCTCAGAGACGAAACTCGGAGCCTCCGCGAGGGCGAGTTTGGTGTGGAACTTGTGGTCGAGAAAGGAGAGTGCGGAGGGTGAGAGGTGAGTGGGTGGAGGAAGGGTTTGGAGCAACTCCATCATGGAATTCGAAGTTTCGATCGATGCTTCTCGAAGCTTCTTCTCCGCCGTGTGCGGCTGTTCGCCGGTGTCGGATTCCGATGAGTCTCTGTCGACGATTCGAACCTTCCTTACACTGCACTTGTGTTGGTTGGGTGGATCCAAACGAGGTCCGAATTTGATATTTTGATTTTTCATATTTAAATTTTAATTGTAATATTTTTTTTTAAATTCCAGCACGTAACAACATTTTTTAAATCTATTTTTTACTTAAAAATGTTTTTTTAATTGTTTTTTAATGTATTATTCTTTTAGGTTCGTTATATGATTTTGATCTTTGGTATTGTTATATTATAACACTGTAATATTACAATGAAATTATCATGAAGTATAAAAAAAAAACGTTTACATTAGTAACTAATTAAAATATATTATAGTAAAAACATTGTTACATATGGGAGTCAGAAATATATTATAGTTTTTAATGTGACAGTTATTGTCAATTTAATATCTACACTTTACTGTATTATAATTTAACATGTAATGTTATAATAATAATAGATGATAATGATTAAATTGAAAATAATATAAATATAATTTTTTTTTGGAAAATTATACATATAGAGATTAAATTGATATTTTTTATACAAGGACTAAATTAAAAGTAAATATCATATAATAATTAAAATATATATTAAAATAAATTTTTTCATACTTTCTTTTCTTAATTGTTATTCTAAGGAACATTTGGTACATGGATTATTTTTGGATTCTCGGAAAATTATATCGAGAATTCTATTTACCCACAATTGATAGAATGTTTTTGAAAATTTTCCCAAGAATTTTCTCAAGATTATGATTTGGTGAACAAATTATATAACAAAATGACATCCAAGAATATCATCTTAGAATCTCGAGTGTTATTTAACAATCTACCAAACTTAGAATCAGCAAACTTAAACCAATATTCTCAGTAATATTTTTGTCTACAAAACAGTATTTTGGTCACATTCACGAGAAATTCATTTTCCAAGCATATTCTTGGTAATCATGATTTTTGGACAAAAAATTTTTTCCCTTCTATCAAATACCCCATTAGTGTATTGTTCACATTCAAATTTTTTATTTAGTAATTTTCTTAATGGAATAATATTATTTTCAATTTTCTTTATTAAAATATGTATATATTTTTTAGAATAATTGTGCTGAACTACAGAAGTAATGCAAGTGTTGTGAAGTGAAGAAATTGAGAAGTGGAAGATGGAAGGAATGTTGAGGCATTTATATGCTTAAAAAAGCCTCGAGTAAGAGCAACTTCTCATGATCTCTTCAACTCACTCAACATATTGATGCAGGCCCAATAAATCTCATGTATTGTTTGGAAAATATCCATTATAATATTTGTGATATTCAAGGTTAACATAAACAAGATAGTAAATAATGACTTATACCAGTTGAATATATAACACTGCACAACTTCTAAATGCACGAATTTGCATAATTGTGTAAGATTTGATTTTAAAAACAATAGGGACTACCTAAACGCAAAGAGTTATTATGGGGTAAACAAAGAAAAAAAAAATTACAACATGCTCTAGAGTCTAGACCATCATCATACACTACCCTCACATTCAAATGAGGAAAGAAAAGGAAAAACACAACTTAAGCAAAAACCCATGGTTTGATTTGATTAAACATTTTTGAATTCAAAGCCTCAAAATGGGGTAACACTTCCACTTCTTGTTTCTGTAGGGCTGTATAAAGCAGACCTGTTCCTGGGTCTATTCTCCTCCAATTGCCTCACAACTTCTTCCATGCTTGGTCTAACAGATGCCACTGGTGCACAGCACCCCATTGCAAGCTTCAGTGCTTGCACCAACCCATCTTCCATTGGACTTCTTATCCCTTTCAAGAGTTCCACATCAAACACTTCCATTGTTGTCTCCTCCAAAACTGCTACTTTCACCATTGAAGGCAAATCCACAAACTCACCACTCCTTCCATTTTTCCCAGGTTTCTTACCAACCAAGATTTCCAGCAGTAATATACCAAATGCATAAACATCAGTCCTTGAGTTACATTTCTTCATCTTTTGAAGCTCTGGAGCCTTGTAGCCATCAGTCTTGGCAAGCGCCACCATTTCATCGGCTACCGAAGGAATCATCAGCTTGTCAAGGCCAAAATCAGTGAGCCTGGCAACAAAGAAATCATCCACAAGCACGTTCTTGGATCGAACATTCGCATGAGTGAGAGGAACATCTAATCCTGTATGAAGATAAGCTAACCCTCTTGCTATACCCAATGCAATCTTGTGTCTCCTAGCCCAGTTCAGCACTGGTTTTCCTGCTTTAGTTTCTGTAGAAAATTAAAATCACAACATTATAGTCAATGGCAAGCAAAAGTGTTAAGTGTTCAAATCACTAAAGCCAAACAGCTATTTAAGTTGTTCAAAATTTCATCTCCATTTAAACAATTGTCTAATCCCCAAGAAAAGTAAACACATTACATCAGGAAAACTTCCATTTGTGACATATATATGATATAAGGTCACAGATATTAAGGAGGCATAAACTATTTTATGCTAGCAATCAGTATTTCAGGATATTTAAAAGAAAAAAAAGTTGTCACTTGTCATTGTGTTAGACTGGATATACCCTATCTTCCACTCCCATGGTATTTTGCAAGTTCTTGCTATTAGAAGATAAATTATTTTTTCCTAAAGTTTCTTATAAGAGATACCATAGTTTTTCAGTGATCTGTACAGCAAGTATAATTTCTTTTCTCTTTAGGCTGAAAACTCATCATATTTTGATTCTAGTTTCGGGTTTAGGAGATTTCAGTATGAAGAAATCTTAATCAAATTAGACACTAATACACCACAAGGAGTTTATTAAACTATGATGACAGTTTTAAATGGTTTAAATGAAAAGTGTAGTGGCATTGCAATATGAAATGCTATCTATGCAAGTGTATGATTGAAATATAAAAGCAATGAAAGGAAATGCAATTAGGGAGGATTATGTATTTAACAAACCATGTAAAAGATCATGAAGGGTTCTGAGAGGTAGGTAGTCATAAATAAGGAGCTTCTCCCCTCTCTTCCCCTGATAGAAAGCTCTCAAAGGGATCAAATTCTCATGGCGAATCTTTCCCAATTGCTTTATAACAGGCAAGCATGAAGTCCTATCCTTGCAGCTACCTTCCCTCAATAACCTCAAAGCAATGGTGCCTCCATCAGCAAGCTTTGCCTTATAAGCTGTCCCATAACATGTCTTCTCCATAACTTGCCCAGTAGCATTCAACACATCATCTAGTGTCAAATTCTCACCTCCAGGGAATAACATAAGCTTCCCCTCACCAGCTCCACCAACAGCATTACCACCATTTTCTTCATCTCCTTCTTCTTCTTCTTCATTCAATTCATCTTCACTCTCTCCACTACCTTTCCTCTTCTTGTTTTGCGTATAGCCAATCAGCAAAGAAGCCAAAACCACAGCTCCTGTCATCAAACTAATAACAATACCAGCAACTGCACCAGAACTAAGTGTAGAGTTCTTAGTACAACTCATCAAAGGTGGTCCACACAAGCCAGGGCTATTCCCTTCAAAAACATCCACACCAAACTTGGATTCACCAAAGAAAGGCAAAACCCCACTAAAATTATTGTGGGAAAGATTCAATTTTTCAAGCCTTAGCCCAGCTAAGCCTTGAGGAATTGCACCCATAAACATATTATTCCCTAAGTCAAGCTCTTTTAGCCCACCAAAAGTTGTAATGAACTCAGGGAAATTCCCAGAAAAATTGTTGCTACCCAAATCAAGCAAATGCAAATTCTTGCAAGAAGAGTTTGGCAATGCTGGTTGAGAAACAGACCCAGAGAGTGAATTGCCATGGAGTCTGAGGGAAACAAGCCTGTCACACAAATTCCATATGGATGGTGGAAGAGTCCCACTCAGCATATTGTCACCCAAATCAATGTCAGAGAGAGAGGAGCTATAACCAAGCTCAAGAGGGATGGTTCCTTTCAATGAATTGATGTTAAGATAGAGACTTTGAAGCATAGGGAACTCCCCAAGCTCTCTGGGGAGTGAACCAGAGAGATTGGCAGATGGAAGCTGAAGAGAAAGCAAGTGCACAGAAGGTTCCTTGTAAAGTGAAAGATTGGTCCATTGTGGTGAAGACAAGTCACTGCATGACAAAGGAGAGCCATTAGAGAGCACCCACTTGAGGCCTCTCCATTGGCATAGTGGTATTGAGGAGTTCCATGAAGACAAAACAAGGTTTTCATTGTCACCCTGCAATGAACCTCTGATTTTTCCCAAGAGAAGCTCAACATCAGAGGAAGTAGATGAAGACAAAGACTTTGTTGAGGTACTAGCTTTGCAGAAACAGGAGGAGAAAAAGAAGATGAAGAAGAAGATGAAGGACATGGAAATGTAGAGAGAGAAAAGCTTCAAAAACGCCATGAACAAACACAACAAAGAGAGAGAGAGAGAGAGAGAAGGGTAAAGGTGGGGGAGTGTGTGTGTGAGGAGTTCAAAGAAAGAGGCTCTCTTTTCTGGGAAAGCTGACACTGTGTTGACTATGAGTGTAACCAGTAAGGTTTCATTGTCTATGAATTCAACGGTTGTGATTCCATTCTACATTACACTCATGCAATTTCTACCACCTTATTGCAATTTGCAAAAATCACGCACCGTTTAGAGATTTTTTATATGTATATATCGGGCATAAGATTAATATTTTTTAAAATTATATTACTTAACCTGTATAACGTTAATATGGGATGTTATTATTACCTTTTATATGTTATTAATGATTATATTAAGATTTTATTTCAGGAGCTAAGATTATAAATTACAGGAGTACAAAAGCTTCTTAGATGATAAAGAGAGTTAGAAGCACATTTTCTCTACTCAGGATTAGGAATTCCCTTTTTTAAAATACAAAACAAATAATAATAAAAACAAAAATAATATAAATATATTATTTTTTATATTTAGTAAAAGATGTATCGAATATTTAATTTATTAGATGTTCCAAAAATATTTTTGAGAGGTAGATATATTTATTGCAAGGGAAAGGTCTTATATTGAATTATTTTACTTTTTATGCATTAACATTTAAGAGGAAGAGATACTGTGCCATTTTAAGGTCTGTGACGTATATCCAGGTTTTAATAAGAGTTTAGGGTGAATTTATAGAAAACCTATCGATAAAAGTTATTCAATTATGACAATGCTAGCTCTGAATAACATTTATAGTTTGTTATATTAATAATATGTGTTATCACTGTCTTTAACTTAAAAATTCGTATTGATTTTTTAAATATTATTGTATGATTAGTGAATATATAGTTGATACGACATCATCTTTCTTTTATTTTTTTGGTACAAAACGACATCATCTTTCATGGAATATATCTAATGAGCCCTGTTACCCAGGAAACATGTACAATTATATTTTATACTTTTTTAATAGTATCTTTATCATTTTTTCTCTCAATCAAAGAGAACATGAGATAAAAAAAACATGATATGCGCTTTTCTTTATCCAAAAATATCATGCAAGAGAACAGTGAGACTATTACTAAATGGGTGTTTAAATTTGATTTAAAACCAACTTTAAATTAATTTCTTTTAATATTTGAACAAGGCCGAAGCTAAAATAGTTAACAATGTATCCTCCACTATTATTTTAAATTCTTAAAAATGATGTTATGGTTTGGACAATTGGAATATTGAATGATTTTCCTCTTTTGCTTTTCCAAGTCCTCTATTATTATTTATTTGTTCCTGCACGCTTACTTTAGTAAATTGGCCTACAAGTTTAATATTGCACTTTGCACTCTCTGAGGAAAGAGGGTAAGGTCTTCTAGGATGCCACCCCTTCCTTGTCATTTCATGGTAGAGATTGTGGGTCAGCAATAACATCTGGTCCTTTAAAGACCTGTGTTTCTATCACCATACACGTGTCAAACATGCATTTTGATTGAACTTGATCCATTATTGAGTGATTCGATGAGTTGGGTGTGTATTGAAGACTATGCAGATGATGTGCAGCTTGAGGCCCAATGGGGTCCCATGTGGTTGTGGGTCAGAATAGAAAAGTGAAAGAAGAGATAATGATATTGAAGATTGAAGAGACGAAAAAGAAAAGAAAAAAAAAAAGGTGAATCAATGTCTGATGGTTAAAATTTAAAATACACCGAGCGTTGGGAATGGAATGAGGGAGCTCAAAACTCTTTACAAAGGGTACATCTATCAATGGGCCAAATGACAAATCATAATAAGTGAGTCGACACCACATCTCAACCCAAAATTTTAAGGTTTGTCTATGTCTAGTCTATGTGGTACTTCTTTACAACTCATACTTGATTATTTCCAACATCTTCCCTCAAGTGTGAGGCCCAATATCATTCTTATCCGAAAGGTCAACTTGTGCGGAAGTCTTCCAAACACTTGGCTCAGATCGTTGGCTCTGATACCACAACCATAATAAGTGAGCTGACACCACATCTCAACTCAAAATCTTACGGCTACAAATTTATGGGTCTTTCACACTTATATGATCATCACCTGGTGTATATCTAGTCTATATGTGATACTTCGTACTTAATTATTTCCAAAACTGAATAGCAGAAGAGTGCAATGACCTATGAGAAACAGTGCAGGGGTAGTGTGATATGATAGAATGAAATGAACAAAAAGAAGTGCTTTGGAGGGTGGTGTTCACGTGGGGGGAGATCCACTGATTCTTCCAGTAGGGCTGTAGGGGTGGGGAAATATTGTTAGAACAACTGTGGTATCCGAGTGCACCACCACATCAGTTGAAATAGTCCTTGAAAAGAAAAGAAAAAATTAATATTTTATTTATGCATTTTAAAAAATATATAATATAAATATCATCATCACATCCAATAATTAATATGACGGTGGTACTAAAAATACTTTTCGGGGCTCCCAAAAACATTGCCTTTTGTGCATAAATTTAAAAATTCAGAATTCAGGTTGAATTCTGCTTTTAAAAATATTTTTTAAAATAAAAGAATTTATTTGATAATATCTATTTTGTAAAAGAAATTCTAAAAATTGTAATTATTTCTTAAATTTTAGAATAAATATATTTCAGACATTTCTATTTTGTATTTTAATTTTTAACTTTAAAAAAAACACAAAAAATATTTACTTATTTATTTATTTTTTTGATAACCCAAAAAAATTTATTTTATTAACTATTATACAAAAGTATTTTAATTTTAATTTTAATTTTTGTAAATATCAATATGTTCTTTTAGATGTTACGAATAACAGATTTGGAAATTATTCTTAATATAATTTGTTTATCTGAAAAATAAAATTTATTAAAACTGATTTCAAAGTCCTAGTGAGTCTGACATTTTGTCAAAGAAATGTATTTTTAAAAACTATTTTTTAAATTAGGGTTAACAAAATATTATTTATTAGAGCTCGTATATCTTCCTTCTCATCACTCCAATACCTTACACTATATATTTTTTTTTTTTTTTTTTTGTAAATTACACTATATATCCTTGAAGTTGAAGGCTTGGAGCATAACGTGGCATCCACACTTCTTTAGAAATTTTAAACTAGCCTTAGTGCAAAATCTTTTACATTATTATTCAGTTACATATTGTTTAATTATTAAAGAAGCCGGGCTATCATAAGATAACTAAAAAGTTTAAATATATTTTGTTCAGGGGTTTAGTTTTCTTATCTGACAGTTGATAAGTTAATTTTTTTTTTTTTTGTGTGGTGATAAGTTAATTTTCCTACACATATAAATATCAATGGGCTCCACTATTTTTTAAAATAAAAAAAAAATCAATTTTTATTCTCTATACAGGAAATACTATTTATTTTTCTGCGCAGAAGAATAGTATTTCCGTTTGTTCATATACTATTACATGATTGAATGACAATGTAAAAACTTTATATCAACATTGCATTAATTTAAATTTTATGCACATAATTATTTTCGATTTAGTCATATTGTCTGTTAAAATTATAATACAATTAGGTGTAAAGATTAAATTGAAAATGAGTATTGCATATAAGAAGGAATACTATATGTTATATTCCTACACATGCCAATCATTTTCAATTTAGTTCTTACACTTTATATAACTCCATGTAATTCTCACTATATTATAACATGCATTAAAAATAGTTGATAGGAAATAAATAAAAAAATTCTTAGAAAAACAAATAAAAATGAGTATTATGCATAAAACAAAAAATATATTTTAGATAATAACCATAAAAAATATATTTAATTTTTTGAAAATTTAGTTTAACCGAGATAAAAAAATTTCATTAATTAAAATACTATGAGACATACAGAGGTCCAAATACAATGAGTGGGGTTCACTTCCAAACAAGGGAAGGATTATGCCAAATTTTCACAAAGTATTCCTTGGGGAAGGCAAGATTTAGAAGGTTATTTTTTTTTTAGAATGGAAGATTATATAATGGAATATATATATATATATATATATATATATATATATAGAGAGAGAGAGAGAGAGAGAGAGGTAGGTTCATTTAACACCTGTGTCAAACTTTGAAATTTGACACCAAGTCTTAAGTATTGATTTCTGTCAATCAACGGTTATAATTTTTGTCAATCAAATTTATTAATTAATTATTGTTGGACAAGTGGCTTTAATACTCAAGATGGGGGATGAATTGAGTTTTATAAAATCTTTTCGCAAAGTATCTCCTTTGATATTTTAAATAGTGTTTCTTCAATTAAATGATTTAACAAGGAAACAACTAAGTGTAGGAGCAAGTGTGTGATCAATAAAGTAAGCAAGCAAATAAATAAATACAATCTAAAAATGTAATTTCAAGACTATAGGAAGGAATTTAAGGTTAGAGAAATTGCAAATTAGATGTATCCTGGTTCGGTCACAACCTCCGTGACCTACATCCAGACTGAAGTCGCTCGATCAAACTTTTTCACTAGCTATCAAGCTTGAGAGTGCTTGACAAATCACTACAACCTTTCAAGACTTCGGGCTCTTGATGCCTTACAATTTTTCACTCCAAATTTCTTAGGAATTTGGTAACCTCTCAAGTATAAAGGGTTCCCTCCTCTAACTATTGAAGAAATCAAATGGAGGTGTTTAACAATAGCTAGGTGCTCTCAAAGTACAAATTATACAAGTTGAAGAATTATGGTGTTGACACTTTCACAAGAATAAAGCTTAAAGAGTATTTATGATCAAGATGAATGAGAATAAGCAAATGATATGATTTAAATGAAGAATAATGATCAATGAATAGAACAATGATCCCTATTTAAAGAGACCCCATAAGTGATTTTACAGCCATTTTCGCAAACTAACCGTTTTATGGCCGTTATTTTTGTCTTCTGCTCAGTGGATAATCGATTATCATGGGGTGGGTAATCGATTACCATGACCAGGTTAATCGATTACCAA